TCTATTTCAAACACACCATTTTTGGGCAGTAAAAAATAATACATAGTCATAGAGCTAGAAGCATGCTGTGAAAATGGCTCACCATTGAGCAGACTGGAGGAACTCTGGGGTGGGGTAAAAAGACTTCTATTATGAAAGCATTTTCCAAATCAAATAAACTTATTGTCAGTTTATTATAAAAGGCAGGTGCAAGCAAATAATAGCAAACGAAGCTTGATATTAATGTTGGCTTTTGCAGTCCCATATTTATTTTAGATTGTGTAACTATGTTAGATTTTGATTTTTTTCAACAATTAAAAAAGACCTCTAGAGTAATGGATAGTGATTTGGGGTGTTAAAAATAGTATGTAAAGTGGTTTAAGCAGTTGACATGTTCACCATTCTCTTTTTGTTTCTGCCATCCCACTGGTGAAACAATCTGCAGTAACCTGGGTCTACAGCTCCCAAAGTAAAATATGAAATCCATTGACTGATATTTTCTAGTCTATTCCTACATTTTTCCAATCAGTTTCAGTGGCCTTACGCCGAGTATTGCATATTGTACTTCTTCCTGATAAAATTGAAATGTTTGAGATGAAGCAAGATACAGAGGATAGGAGTGGAGTAATTGTGAAATAGAAACACCTCCCAAGGCTCTAGATACAAATTGGATGACAGCACTGACCTCTCCCCAGCAACATTTGTTTTTCTTTCACCCTTTCTTCTCTTTCTCTCAATTCTCCTATTTTTTCTTTCTCTGCTACTTCCTGTATGATCTCCTATTCTGCTCTCCCCACCTATATTTACCTCTTTCTCATCTGCCTTTTTTTTTCTATCTGGGGACCTTGTTTGGCCCAGGTTCCTGCTCCTATCTATCAAAGTTGCCTCTAGCAAATTTGAGCTTGGCTTATGAGATAAAATGGTCAAGAAGGAATATGATCGTATTGCAGTATTAGGCTCAGGGGAAGCACTTCATAAAGATTTGTTAAATAAGAATTCAGAAATAGCCAGATTTCAATATTAATTTGAAAATTTCAGCTATTGAAAATGACAACTATTTGCATCCTGCATTTTTCAAGGTCATCTTTCCCTATAGGCACTGTAGTGAGTGAATTTCTTTTTTCCTCAAACCATTTTTTTCCCCCTCAAGCCAAACACTGCGTGATTTTAGGCCTCTGTAATGCTGGCAGATTCCCCCCTCCACTCCCTTCTTTGTTATATAGAAAGTGTCTTTGACCTGTTCGTTGGGAGTTGAGAGGAAAAAGTGACATAAGTAGGAATCATTTCAAAGAAATGCCTTTCACATTTTAAAATATAATTATGTAAAAAAACATTACTGCCTATACTATACAAGGGGACAAAGAGCACCTTTATTCCATATCCTCCTCATTGAAAATAATTCATTCAGCAGCTATTTGTCTATAGTGTATTACAGAACATTTCAAAGACAGTTTTTGTCCAATGGCAGCTGTTAATCTAGGAGGTTAGTAAGATTTCTATATGTACTTTTGAACAATGTTGGCCTAGTTACCCAACATAGTGATTAAATCAGTGACTACCACATGTAAAAGTGGTGGCAGGCAGAGGGCATGTACCGTATTTTTCGGCGTATAAGACGACCCCCTGATTTTTACAGTTAAAACATAGGTTTAGGCCTATATTCACTGTATAAGACTACCCCCCCACTTCCGAGGCAACACCAGTTCTTTTTTAATAGACCGCCTCTCTGACTCTGGCCAATCTGAGCAGGCTTTTTTTCGTTTCAAAAGTTGTCTTATACGCTGGACAATATGGTAACTAGCTAGGTGAGCATACATTTCACTTGTGTTCACCAGAAAAGGCTTTATTGACCCGGGCCATATTAGGAGCTGAAGGCATGAAAATAAGTGATGGAATGGGCAGTGGGAGAGCGAGAGAAGGAGGACATCCTAGGCCAAGCATGTCAAACTTCTGGCCCACAATGAATATTTTTGCGGCCCAGCCAATATAACAGTAATATAAGAAATGTTTTAATAAAAATTTCATAACTTAATTTTTATAATGTTCAGTTATACATAACTAATAACAATGAACTACAACATTTGCTAATAACTGATTACTAGAATCATGTTGCATTCATTCCCTTATGCGCCTTATGCACAGGTGCACCATTATCTCCACTAATACTAGCAGGGAATATTTTAGCAGCCGATTTTCATCATTAATCTTGTACTAACTTGTTTGGTGTGCACAACAGGAAATATTTCGCTTTCGGAGAACAAGAAAAATAGGTTTATTTGTGTTATGTGTATTAATTTGTGCAATTATGCAGTGTCTGGTAAGTTAATATTCAAGAAAAAAATTATTTTTATTAAAATGTTCTATTATTTTATGTTAATGACTAGTGGCTTGGTGCATGAAATTTGTGCATGAGGGCGGGGTGTCCCTCAGCCCAGCCTGCACCCTCTCCAATCTGGGACCCCTCGAAGGATATCCTACTGCGGGTTTATAGAGAATGGGCCTAAACCAGCAGTCAAACATTCTTCTTGCAATCTGGGACTGCTGGCTCCTAACCACTCACTTGCCTGCCTGCCTGATTGCCCCTACCACTCTGCCTGAAGGCCTGCTTGCCTCCAACTTCCCCCCTGTCAGTGTGCTCACTCCCAACTGCCCTCCTACTGGCCTGCTTGCCTCTAACTGCCCCCCTGCTGGCCTGCTCACCCCCACCATCCCTCCTCACTGTCCTGTTTGCCCCCAACTTCCCCCCTACTGGCCTGCTCACACCAAACTGCTCTCCCACTGTCCTGCTCACCCCTGCTGTTTTGCTCACCCCAACTTCCCCCCCACCAGCCTGATCACCCCCAACAACCCTTGCACTAGCCTGATCACCCACAACTGCTATCCCATCCTGGCCTGATCATCCACAACTGCCCTCCCCTTTTGGCCTCTAGCCACCTCTACCACAGCCTTGCCACCATGGCTTTGTCCAGAAGAATGTCCAGAATGTCTCCTGGAAGGTCTCCCAGTCTAATTAGCATATTTATTAGTATAGATAGAGGCCTGGTGCATGGATGGAGGCCAGCTGGTTTGCCCTGAAGGATGTCCCGGATCAGGGTGGGGGTTCCCTTCGGGCATGGGGTGGCCTGGGAGAGGGATCTGTAGTGGTTTGCTGGTCAGCCACCCCCCCATGGGGTAAAGGTCCCCGCTGGGGGGGAGGGGGTGGCCAGCCTGAGTGAAGGGCTAAGGGCTGTTTTTAATCTGGACACACCCCCTTCAGGACGGGGGTTCCCGCTGGGGTGTCTGGCCTGCATAGGTGAGGGGCTGATGGCTGTTTGCAGGTTGGCCATGCCTCCCAGCAGGGACCCTCACCCCATGGGGGCATAGCCAGCCTGGGTGAGGGGCTGATGGTTCTTTGCAGGCTGGCCACACAGCCCAGCAGGGACTTTTACTCCATGGGGAGCATGATCAGCCTGGGTAAGGGGCTGAGGGCCATTTCACCTAGCTGTTCACCCAGGCTGGCTACATCCTCTTCGGGGTGGGAGTCCCCACTGGGGTGCCAGGCCAGCCTGGGTGAGGGGCTGAGGGCAGTTTTCAGGCTGGCCACACCCCCTTCAGGGTGAGAGTCCCTGCTGGGGTGCCTGGCCAGCCTGGGCAAGAAGCTGAGGGCCATTTTCATGCTGTCCATGCCCCCTGGCAGCCCAGGCTCCCAGCCCCACCTTTTCCCCCCCCTCTAGCCTCTCCTTGAGCAGAGGACAGGTCGGGGGCTGGAAGCTTGGCTTCCTCCCTTGCCAGGGACAACCCAAGCCTTTTGCTTGTTCCAACTCTGTGGCCTAGGACATCTTTGTTGGGTTAATTTGCATACTCGCTCCTGATTGGCTGGTGGGTATAGTGGAGGGATGGTCAATTTGCATGTTTCTCTTATTAGTGTAGATGACTCATTTATTTCAGCCTTTTGTATTCAGCATGTCTCTGTCAAAATAAACATACATTTCTAGGAACATTGAAACTTCTTTTTTTCTTTTTTTCCCCACATAAACTTAAATCTTTTTTATTTGGCCCATGTTAGCCTTTGAGTTTGCCATGCTTGTCCTAGGCTTAGGGTTTGGCATGAGAGAAGTTTGGAAAGGGGATTACAATCTGCAAGAGGCAAATGCTGAGATCACTATGTGAATTATCTCTCTAGAAAGACAATGTGATACAGTAAAGAAACCTTTAGCTGGAAGCTTTAATTAACTGAAGGATCCCTAGTCTCAGAGCTCATGTTTTAGAAGAAAAACATGAGTCAACAGTTTAATTTAGGAATTTAGTCTCACCTGTTTTAAGAGCATGTCCTGGAAGTCTCATGTTCACCTGTGGTCTTGTGCAATAGACCTAATACTCATACAATGAAGTTTAGTAATATTGGAGAGTAGACAATACAATTTAGAGTAGCTTAATCATTTGGTTAGGAGTTAAAAAAAAATCAACTCTGGTTCTAACTATATCATTTGTGGATTCGTGGATTCTTCCGATTCTGACATTACTATAATTCTAAATTACATAGCCTCAGTTTCTGCTTCTGTTATATGGTGAACCATTCTTGTCTTGTGTATTTTATGGTGTTCTTGTGGGAATAAAATAAAAACTGCCATATAAATTTCAAAGTATTAGTGTTGTTTTAACTATCAGAGTCTCTCCTCCCTCTGCTGAACCCCATCTCCCCATAGCTCTGTCCGTCATGTAAACACAACATCTCATTCCTGTTCATTGCAATGCTATAGTACTCCACTTATTATATTCAATGTGGTCTCTTCCACTCCTGCAATATACTCTTAGAGTACTTTTGAACATATGGTAGGTGGTCAAAAGTACTTGTCAAATCAAATTGAATGTTATTTTCAATCTCGGTAGACAGAATATCTTTTACTCCACAGAAATAATAGATGGAAGGCAGGTTTGATGATTCATAATATCTTGTCTCCCACAGGAGGAAAACATTTCCTACTAGTTCCTAGTGTGAGAGTGGTGAACCCTGCAGCCAGCAGGCCTCCTGAAATAAATCCATGGGTGACGAAAGGTTCATTGACTTCCAATTCCAAGATTTGAATTCAAGCCTCAGACCCAGGTTGGGCAATGCTACTGCCAATAATACTTGTATTGTTGATGATTCCTTCAAGTATAATCTGAATGGTGCTGTCTACAGTGTTGTATTCATTCTGGGTCTGATAACCAACAGTGCCTCTCTGTTTGTCTTCTGCTTCCGCATGAAAATGAGAAGCGAGACAGCTATTTTTATCACTAATCTGGCCCTCTCCGATTTGCTCTTTGTCTGCACTCTACCTTTCAAAATATTTTACAATTTCAATCGCCACTGGCCTTTCGGTGACACTCTCTGCAAGATCTCTGGGACTGCATTCCTTACCAACATCTATGGGAGCATGCTCTTCCTCACCTGTATTAGCGTGGATCGTTTCCTGGCCATTGTTTATCCCTTCAGATCTCGTACCATTAGGACCAGGAGGAATTCTGCCATTGTGTGTGCTGGAGTCTGGATCCTGGTCCTCAGTGGTGGTATTTCAGCCTCCTTGTTCTCAACCACTAATGTCAACAATACTACCACAACCTGCTTTGAGGGCTTCTCCAAACGTGTTTGGAAGACGTATTTGTCCAAGATCACCATATTTATTGAAGTTGTTGGCTTCATCATTCCTCTGATATTGAATGTCTCTTGTTCTTCTGTGGTGCTGAGAACCCTCCGCAAGCCTGCTACACTGTCTCAAATTGGGACCAATAAGAAAAAAGTACTGAAGATGATCACAGTGCATATGGCAATCTTTGTGGTCTGTTTTGTACCCTACAACTCTGTTCTCTTCCTGTATGCCCTGGTGCGCTCTCAAGCCATTACCAATTGCTTTTTGGAAAGATTTGCTAAAATTATGTATCCAATCACCTTGTGCCTTGCGACTCTTAACTGTTGCTTTGACCCTTTCATCTATTACTTCACCCTTGAGTCCTTTCAGAAGTCCTTCTACATCAATACCCATATCAGGATGGAGTCCATGTTTAAGACTGAAACACCTCTTACCACAAAGCCTTCCCTTCCAGCTATTCAAGAGGAAGTCAGTGATCAAACAACAAATAATGGTGGTGAGTTAATGCTAGAATCCACCTTCTAGGTACGAGAATTGTCTTTAGATCCAGATACGGTTTCTCCAATGATTATTTTCCTACGTTATGAATAAGATGAAATATTTGAAGCTAACGACACTAAGAATAGATTAATGTACTAAATACAGCCAAATACATTTATTTGAGCATTTCTTTATATATGCTGATTTGTTCAATAATTATAGGTCAGGTCTAATTACTACAATCAAAAGTAATGCCAAACTCTTCTGCTGGGTTGAAATTTTATTATATCACATTATGTAACTGGCAAGTGGACTTGACTTTAGTGATGTGGATATTACTTTCAAACTTTTAAAATCATACTCCATTCTGAAAATATTTGATAATTAGATTGGGCCTATAAATATAGAACAAATTCAGGGATTATTTAAAACAGACATTTTGTGTTACTACTGATATATTTTTGTTTGGATTGTTTTTCTTTTAATTTCCATCAAGTTTATTTTGGCCTAAAATAATTAATAAGAAATGTATCCAATTTAAAAGAGCTGGCAAATATATTTTATATATGTTGAAAGCAGAAACATAAATTGTGTTTGCATGAGCATGGATGAGAAGAAACAAAATTAACTGGATTTACACATTTGCAGTCACCAGCATTGTCAGTTTAAAAAAAATTTTTTTTTACTACATTAAGAATTTCATATGAAACTTCAAATTCAGAAAACTGCTAAATATGTGCCCAAGATAGGTATACAATGGAAAATCACATAAAATAACAAATGTCCATTAAAAATCTAAGTAACACCAATATATATATATATTTTAGAATTTCCAATTTCTAATATTATTTTTGAGGGACTGGTTTCTACAAAATATTCTCCATATGAAATTTTGGAACACAGTGCAGCCAGAAAGCTGCTTAATTTGTGTCTATGTTAGAGCAAATTGGAAAAAACAAAGTAATAATAACACAACAATAAAACCAAAAAAAAGCTTTCTTAAAATTTACATTAATAATTTTTTTGTAACTCACTAAAACAGCAAAAGCATTAAGAAAATCCTTAAAAACTCTACCATTTATTGGATCAACTATAAATTTAAGAGTATTAAGACTTGTAAAGAAAATTTCTGAGCACAATATAGCTTGAAAGATAATATATTGTGCTTATGTTAGAAACAATGGAAATAAATACCCACATATAAACTGCACACACAAACACACACACACACACACACTCACACACACACACACACACACACACACACACACACAGTTAAAATACTACAAAAAGTAAATATTCTTAAAATGGACATCTATCAATTTTTAAAATATAATACCTAGATGATATAGCAATTTTAAAATGTTAAGGCTGTAGTAAAACTGCTGGTAACAAGGGACATTAGCTGCTTAACTTGTCCCAGAAATTGATTAAAATACTAAAAACCATAAAATAATAACCAAAAAGTAAAATTTTTAAAGAAATAAGCAAATTTTAAAATATCTCATCCCTTTTTCCCTTTCTGATTGTGCATAGATTTAAAAATACTAAGGTTTTAAGTATACATTTCTAAGAATTATGTAACTTTAAAAACTGCTAAAGCTGTTCTTGGATTAGGAATTAATAGAAAAATAAATGCTAAAACAATGGAAGAGTAATAAAAATGAATTCTCAAAAATCACATTACTTTTCCCTCATTATCATAAGTGCTAAAAATAATCATGCATAAAATTGTCTTGTGAAAACAGATAATAGATAGAATATATGACATTAGGTTCAGTTAGAGTCAATTAGGTTAAGTTAGGTTAAGCTTAGTTGTTAGGTTATATTTTAAGATAAAATTAGTAATCACAGTATGAAGAATCTTTTTGTGTTTTTTTCTGGTATTTTTTTTTCTTTTCAGTTTCTTGTAAGTATAAATTATATGTGAACTTTTGTTTGTGCCTTTGGCTCTCAAAATTATGAAACTTTAGGCTGATGATACCAAAACATTTAATGGGATATGTTAACCAGGTTGACGTAAAATATAACAGCAAACCTATTTTGTAACTTCATATTTAGTTTTGTTTAATTTTCCATATTTCAATTTATTTTTATTAATTTCCATTTTATAGTTAATATAACTTGGAATAATAAAACATTTGTTATATGAGCAATGTAATCAATAAAATTTAATGTATAACTAAATGTAAAATTGACTTTACATTTTTAAAAAAAGCAATCAATCAGTTATAATTGCAACTTGGATTTTAATTGCTTATTAAATATAATAAAATACATTTAGATTATCTAGCAGTTATACTTTGGTTTAGCAGTTGAACTTACTCAACTGTGTTTTCTTTTGTGGGCACCCAGTGGTTTCTTTCCATTATCTTTCCTTCACTGTCTAAGAAAGGACTTTTTAAAGTATATTTGTTCACAAATCAATTCCTATCCTTTTTTTGAGGCTGTCTGGAGAAAAATGCAGAGTTGCAAATGAAAAGTCCCTGGGTGACTTTTCAGCGATTAAGCTGAAAGATTAAATACCACTTTCTCTGATTTATCTGACTTGTTTTTGATATATTTGGAGTTTCTTGAAAAGCTGACTTTTAAATTTGATTTCTTGGATTTGATAAAATATACTAGGACAACTGGGAGGCCTGAGAAAAGTTAGAGCAAACAGACTATCTGATAACAATGAGATGATTTAGGAGCTGGGTGTCTGAGTGGTCAAGAACTAGAACAGGTGGTGGGCCCAGGGTGGCAGCACAGGGAATTTCTGGTTATTGTTTTCATGCCTTCTAACTCCCAGGGAAAGCAATATTAACATGACTTAAATCACATTGCATATTGGTTCTCCATTAGATAGCAAATGCTTTTTTTTTTCTTCTGACATGACAAGCATGATCAGCCCTAGGCAATGTTTAAAATTATAGGAACTTTGTCATTAGTGACCTTCTAGGCCAGGCCCTCAAAAACAAAACAAAATAAAACAAAAACCACAAATAAGAGGAGACAGATGCTATTTGTTTCACATCCCTATTGACCTCCTTTCACTTCTATCTCCACCCTCAGATTCCTGGACCTTATATTTGCTATGGTTTCCCAAACTTTCTGTCTTTCCTGCAGCCCTTTCTTACATCTCTATCTCCTGCAGAAATATTGCTTTTCAATAGTCCAAAAAAAAAATACATAAACCTCTGTCAAGACTGACAGGTTGAATAGATTTACACTAAGGTGTGAATGATTGATCCATCCATCCATTGCTTTTAATCCTCCATTGGTGTTTACATCTTAGAAAATGAGTAAATTCTAGTTAATTCGATTGACTGAAGCAGGGTAAAGATGGGGAGAGATGACTGTTTTAGTACATCTTAAATCATCTCTTTAGCCTCAGCCTGCCTCACATGATGGTAAAGCCTCTGTACTGCAACTCTTTTGTTCTGCTCTCTTACCATTACCTGCATGAGTTCATAGCCTACATTTCCTTTCTCCAGACAGCCTCTTTTTCAAAACTGCCCAAGGTGACTGTGAACCTGTATTCTCATTTCATATAGCCTTGAATTCTTTTGCCCAAATATCTCCTAGTTCTTCTGGATTTAGTGAAATGGTTCCTAAAATAGAAAGCATTTTATTTCAATAAGAAAACTAAAGCAGTCTATTGAGTAAAAGTTTCCTGTATATTCAGGTTTTTAAAGAACTATACACTTCCCATTGCTTTGCTTCTTTCCATCTCTGAGTGTCTCAGTAAAACTTGTCTCTACCAAACATCCACAGAAGTATTGAATTCTAGAACATAGAGGAATAGAGCCAGAGTAAGGTCTGTGAGAAAACGCAGACAGGCTCTGAGACTGGGGAGACTTGTGTGGCCATGACAACTAGTTGTCCTTTCTACTTGTCATAGGGGAGCTCCAGCCATATAGATGAGAAGCTTGTTACAAAGAACCCTCACTCCTTCCATTTCTAGTTCAGGGTAAACTACTCAGCTTGTTACCTTTCTCACTCATGTTGGTGGTACCAAGGCTGGGTCACATTCCTCATTTGGGATCCTGGGGCTTCTGAACTAACCCAGTTCAAGGCAGTTTGAGATTCTTGGGAAACTAGAGGCCTGATGCATGAAATTTGTGCAAGAGTAGGCCTTCCTTCCCCCAGCTGCTGGCACTGGCTTCCCTCTGGCACCCGGAACCCAGGCTTCCTTCACAGCCCTGGCTTCATCTGGAAGGTTGTCCAGAAGGACATCTGGTCTAATTATCATATTATGCTTTTATTATTATAGACTAGAGGCCCGGTGCATGAAATTCATGCACAGGGGTGGGGGAGCCTTAGCCCAGTCTGCACCCTCTCCAATCCGGGACCCCTTGGGGGATGCCCGACTGCCAGTTTAGGCTCAATCTTGGGGATCAGGCCTAAACGGGTAGTCAGACATCCCTTTCACAATCCAGGACCACTGGATCCTAACTTCTCACCAACCTGCTGGCCTGATAACCCCTAACTGCCACCTCTGCTGGCCTGATTGCCTCCAATTGCCCCCCCCCCCCCCCGCTGGCCTGGTAGCTCCTAACTGCCCCCTTGCCTGCCTGGTTCCCCCAATTGCCCCCTTGCTGGCCTGGTTGTCCCCAACTGCCCAACCCCACTGGCCTGGTTGCTCCCAACTGTCCCCACTGCCAGACTGGTCACTCCCAACAGCCTGCTGTTCAGTTGTTTGGTCGTCCTTCACTACCCCCCTGCCTACGTGACCCCATGTAGCCTGCTGTTCAGTTGTCTGTCTGGTTGTTTTGGTTGTAACAGCCCCAGGCTTTTTATATATTAGGATAGGATAATTTGACTAGGGGAATACTTAGGAACCCAGAATTTATTTGTTTACTTATTCAACAAATTTCTTGGACATCAACTATGTGCCAGACACTAAGGATTATATGGTGATAATAAGAGACAAAATTCTGTTTTACTCTGGAGTCAGAGCAAGTGAAGCCCAAAACAAATTAAGCAAATTAAAAAGTAATATGATAGATATTAACTAGAGCTATAGAGCAAAATAGATCAATATAAAAGAGAAAACATACCTG